AAACAAAATAGCATCCAGTATAACTGCTGAAAAATATAGTGTTATTCTTAATACAATTTTATTGACAATTATAACAATTATAACAATTATAAAATTAGACTGCAGATTTTATTTTCAGTGTCAAAAAATTAAATCATATTTTTGTAAATATGAAATGTGGCACAAACAAGAAATAACTTCAACTGTCCATGTTTTTTTAAACATCTTTGATGTTATAATATACAGTTAACTTAAGCATTCTTATTAGACCTTAACTAATACGTAGAGGATTAAAGTAGTAGAGGTCAGAAAATTGCATCTATTCAAAAAGATTTCTTTCTACTGTGGTGATTGGAATAGATATGGAGACAAATGGAAAGGGGCGAGGAAGAATTTGAGGTGTATAAAGCTCCTAGGCATGGAGATCGGAAAGACCTGGATGATTCCAAGAAAAAGGGGGTATTGGACAGTCCTAATTCAGTTGGGGAAAAGAGATCAAAGAAGGTGGGTGGAGGAATTACTGCTCTTGGTCATTACCGCTCTTGGTAATTACCTCTCTTGAATTAGAGAACATATACTGCTATCTGCATCTAAAAAGGAACAGTTGCATCAGCATCATGCAGAAAAAAAGATACCAAGCTGGGCAACTGACAGAGGAAAGGAAGAAGATATGGACGTTTTTAAGAGTATCCATTGAGAGCCTTATTGAGGTCACAGCTAGGGAATTCTGAGGACAAAGATGGGTTCAACAATGTAAAATAACTCAGCTGAATACATCACTGCATAGTAAGCAAGAAATGTATGGGAACGTATAATGTTGCATACATTCATGCTTGAAAAGTTCCCATAGATGACAGTCGAAAAGTACTTGCAGTAAAACAAGCATAAACAGATTTCTTTGTTGCTAAATTTATCATGTATGTGCTGTGATTTAATAAAGCAGACAGGAAACCAAGCTGAATGGCCATCTTATGACTTTTCAGCTGTAATATAAATAGCCCACATTGGTTATCAGGGAGTTATTTGACCTGACTTGTCACAATACACAGGATCTTGCTATGTTATTGTCAACCTACAGATGGCATGCATGGCATAACATTTAGAAAAACTGCACAATGATAAATCTGCAATGAACCATCCAAAATAGGAAATATGGGAAATATGACACCATACTTACCAGGAAAAATGTATGGATGCCATGGATAAATCTGTGAAACCTTGAGCTTCAGTGCATGAGTTTCATTAAAAAGGCAAATAAAACACTAGGTTATAATAGGCAGAGGGCTAGACTCTAAATCAAAACATATATTACCATGACAGGCAGCTCGAAAAAACGGTGTCACAACTTTAATATTAGCTAAATGTAGTTTTTGAGTGTTAATATCAGCAAAGATCATATTGTCTTAGGGACTTGCTAATACCACCAGAAACCCCCTAATGCAGTGGCTCTCGCACTTTTTGTGCTGGTGACCCCTTTCACACAGCAAGTCTCTGAATGCGACCCCCCCTTATAAATTAAAAATACATTTTAAATGATAAATTTATAACCCTATTGTTTAAAATGAATTTGCCTTTTCTCACCTCTTTTACATTAAGACTAAAATACATTTTTATCTAATTATTGTTATAAGCAGAGAAGTTATTTTTTTACATAGTTACTATTTAGTGCTGGGGGCGTGGGGTGAAGAAACTTTGTCAATATCACTTTTCACAGACGTCTTAGTGTCCCATTGCCACCCTTAATTCTGTGCTGCTGCTGATGGTGGTGCTGTCTGCAGAGCTGGGTGCACGCATGGGCTTCGGAGTCAGCCAGGTGTGGGGCTGACAGCTGGAGCCCAACCGCCTGGGGGCTTACAGCTCACAACCCTATTTGAGAACCCTTAACTTAATGCAGGGGTTGGCAACCTTCGGCACGTGGCCCATCAGGGTAATCCACTGGTGGGCTGCCAGACATTTTGTTTATGTTGACTGTCCGCAGTCATGGCCCACTGCCGTTCCCAGTGGCTGCAGTTCACCATTCCCGGCCAAGGGGGGCTGCGGGAAGCAGCAGTCAGCACGTCCCTGTGGCTTCCTGCATCCCCCTTTGGCGGGAACAGCAAACAGCGGCCACTGGGAACTGTGTGGGGCCAACGGTCAACATACAGAAGGTCAACATAAACGGTCATGTTGTGCAGACGGTCAACATAAACAAAATGTCTCATGGCCCACCAACGGATTACTCTGATGGACCGTGTGCCGAAGGTTGCCGACCCCTGCCTTAATGCATTATGTTGTTGGATGGACAGTAATTCACTAGGTTTCTGTGACAAGGTGAAAGTCTCATATTATTAGGCATCACATAATTTTAGTTTATATTGCTGATATGTTTTCCTGTTCATAATATCTGCCAATAATAATAATAATAATAATAACAACAATAATTTGCTTTGCTGCAGAATGAAAAGAAAATGTGAGTGAACAAGATACAGAGTAAATACTGGTACTGAAATTAGCCCATAAGTGCTAAAGATTTCCCCAGGCCTTATTAAGAATACAGAGTATACACATTCAGCCTTGGGTAAATTTGAGCTACTTTGTTTAGACTTCTCAGAAAACAACAGACTTTGTAGGGGGGTTTCAAAGCAAATAATGTCAAACATTTGAAGCAAGACCTTTAAAAAAAATGCAGTTCTCTATCATCAGTGAAACAGCTGGTTTCCACAGTAGCCACTGAGAGAGAGAGACCCTCATGGCATGGCCTGTGTTTGGAGTTTGGACATATGGATTGGGCAGAATTGGCCATTCAGTGTTTGGACCCTGTTTTGGGGTGTTTATTGTTATTATGGACCTTGTTAGTGAAGTAGGATGGATCCAGTTGACTGGGCCAAGTTGGACCTCTCCACATGATTAGTGGCTGTAAAAGGCTTCATATGACACACTCCTTTTCCTGCTTTTCTGTCTTCCCGCCTGTCAGCAGCTCAGCATTCCCATCTGCCCTCCCAGAAACTGGGGAATGTAAGTGACATCATCTGTTAGTCCCGTTACATATGGGCAACTGTTACTGTGTAGTCATCCGTAAGTTGTATTGTATAGTCAGTCATCTATTTTTGGTTTTATAGCAGCATCGATTGCTTGTCATGATTGCTGCTACAAATCCTTTCTTTATCTGTCTGTTTCTGTGTCTGTTTGTCCATCTGTCTAGTTCTGTGGTCCTCATCACGGTGGTATCTTTTTTGTAATTTTCTCTTGCTGAAATACTCTCCTAACAGTAGATGATAGTTACCAATGGGGGCAGGAGCGATGTGTGACAGTTGGAGCTGGAAGCTGTAGTTACATACCTTCAAAGCTTGTGAACACAGATGGAGTCAGAGGTCTTAAGAAATAGTACTCTCTGTAGAGTGACTACAGCTTGACTGTCTGCGAGTATGGCAGGCACCCCTGTTTCATGCAAACATTGCATGAGAAAGGAACCATGCCAAGGGAGGTGGTGGAATCTCCTTCCTTAGAAGTTTTTAAGGTCAGGCTTGACAAAGCCCTGGCTGGGATGATTTAGTTGGGGATTGGTCCTGCTTTGAGCAGGGGGTTGGATTAGATGACCTCCTGAGGTCCCTTCCATCCCTGACAGTCTATGATTCTAAGGGTAGAAAGGGTTGCTCCGCTCCAGAACATACTCTTTCCTCTGGAATGGAGGATTGGTTTTCCCTCCCCCCAAAATATTTGGCAATGGTGTATTTAAAAGATGGTTCACCCTATATAGTAGGATTTGGGATTCCAGCAGATACTATAAACCTATGATAGAGTCCTAGGAGCCCCAGTGGGATTGTAAAGGTATTGTAGTGGTTCAAGCAAAACAATCTACCAATACTGCTTGTTCCAATGATTGTAGGTAAAATTGCAGATATGTTTGTCCCAAAAGCATGTGTGTGTGTTTCAGAGGTGTCATGCCTTAGGCAAGCTTGCTTTTTCTTCTGACTCATGGTCACAGTAACAAGACAGAAAGAAGGACGAGCAACATAACTGAAGCCAGGGCTTCCAAAGGATATTCCCCCATGATAACTGGTTGGAGACTATGTGCAATGATTTTGTATGGTTGTTTACAGCTTGTTGAATGACATCAAGGATTTCATAGAAACGATGTTCAGTCTCTGGTGTTAGTGGATTCTTCTCTCCGGGGTCTCTGGAGAGATCAAAGAGTAGCGGTGGGTTATGGTGTGTGACAAGCCTTCCATAGCAATAGCACACGTGGGAATTATAGCAACCGTTGGAGCCTTCTGGATCAAAGTTTGGAGTGAAGAAAAAAGCTTTCCAAATAGATTCACCTGCAATTTAAAGAAACAACAGCTCATGATTAGAGTACAAAAAATCCCTAGGGCTTGTGAAAATCAAAATCAAACCACTTACAATTAGTCATTAATCTCAACCTTTACGTGTACAGTATTAGTGTACAGAAAACCACAAAATACAGAAATAGCACAAAAAAGTTTCTTGCAATGTTCCAAACCTATTTGGAGCAATTACAGTCACTTCATATTCTTTATTAAAATGAATCATAGACATCTTAAAACACCTTTTCGCATATTCTCATGCCACCAGTCTGCACAGGAGTGCACCATAAATAGCCACAAGTCATTGCATTACCTTCAACTCTCTCATTACAATGCACGTCTGCCATGATGCCAACAGAACATACATAGATTGCAAGCTGTTTGAAGCAGGGACTGTCTTTCCATTAGATTGATGTAGAGTGACCAGCACAATAAGCCCCCCATTTCCTGACTGAGGCCTTTAGGAGCTACTGTAATAGTACTACTAATAATTACACCAATGAAACTGAATTGCAATTGTTTAGGAAATGTGGCATTGTCATCTTTAGGTGACCCACTGCCTTGGCAAATGAGAATCAAATATGTCTTTAATTCTAAATAAGTTGCTAAATGTCTCATTTTGTTGTGCATAGTGAGGGAGTGATATGCACTGATGTAACACAGTTTAATTTTTCTTTTCTTAAAGTATTGACTGGGTTTTTTTTTTTGTTTTTACAGAAAGCAAATGTGAACTAATGCAGATGTAATTTAAGCGCAGACGTATTGGGGAACCCCAGAATGTTCAAGTCCACCAAGAAATGGCTAATACTTTGCTCAAATAGCACAGAACCAGATTTTTTGCAGTGTTGTTGTAGTCGTGTTGGTCCCAGGGTATTTGAGAGACAAGCTTTCAAGAGCTCTTCTTCTGTCCTGAAGAAAACCTGAAGAGTCTGTGTAAGCCTGAAAGTTTCTCTCTCTCACCAACAGAAGTTGGTCCAGTAGATTACCTCACCCATCTTGCCTTTAGACAAGATTGTAACTTTTCATTCTGCCCAGAGTTAGCAACACATAGCTGACATGCCCCAGAGACAGACCAGAGAACAAAACTCGTCTCCTGTTCTTGCCGGAAAAAACACACAAACTGCTAGCTTTTATTTCACAACATTGCATCACTGAAACAATTTTTTAAACAGCTCACTCTTTAAGTAGGAGGGATCGCTCAGTGGTTTAAGCATTAGCCTGCTAAACTCAGGGTTGGGAATTCAATCCTTAGGGGGGCTATTCAGGGATCTGAAGCAAAAACTGGGGATTGGTCCTGCTTTGAGCAGGGGGTTGGACTAGATGACCGCCTGAGGTCCCTTCCAACCCTGATATTCTATGATTCTAAGTGCCAGTCAAGGAGACTTTTTTTTTTCTTTTTTGTATTTTCCACATTTGAAGGTAAAGTTAATCTCAGTAAAAAGAGCTTCATTGAGCTCAAAGCAAGCTTTGTTAATCCAGTAACTGGCTGTCATGATTTATATGCAGGGCTACATAATGTGGTGTTCATTAAGCCCCCCAACGGAAATCATTAGGAAATAGGATGAGGGGAGTGATAGCTGGTGTATCACTCTATATGTGCTAACTACATTACACTTGGCTTTTAAAGATAAGATTAGTCTTTCAGATAGACCTATGCCAGTGCAAAAAGAGACACAGAATGAAGTTATAATATGCAGCCTGGATTTAAAAGAAAGTCAGTAACCTTAAGATTCTTTCCAGCATCTCCTATCATACATCATTCTTCACAGTACAAGATACATTACCTTTAGGAACTTATTCAGTGACAATCTGACAGAGCCTGGAGGCTTCCAGTTCACTTAGACGGCACTAACACTCAATAATCAGGATGAGGTGGGTGAAGGATATTAGGAGGGGGGAACCTCTGAACGTTGCTTAGAACTCAGCAAAGGGAAAGGATGTTTCAAGCCTGAGACTGACTTGCTTGTGCAGACAATAAGTAGCAGCACCTTCAAAATCTTCAGAGAACTCCCTGACTCTTACAGCAGATATCCACAGACTTACAGAGCTGTCAAGTTGTTGCAAAATGGATGCAACCACCTTTGTCTGTGTTTCCAACATTGTTCTGAAAGGCACACTGTTGGCTTTGCTCCGTAAAATACTCTCAGATTTAAATAAATCACAATTCTTCTATATTTGTCTTTGCACAGACCATTGCTCTGAGCAGGGATATGCCTCTATTTACTGTGGTACTTATTTAAGTATGCTGGGAAAGGTAGATAGTTCTGTGCTGAGTGTTGCTTCAGCGTTTAACTGGCAAAATGGATTGGGGGAGGCATAAGGAAGAGAAAAGGTAAGGATTCTATTATCAGTGATATCATAGAATCATAGAATATCAGAGTTGGAAGGGACCTCAGGAGGTCATCTAGTCCAACCCCCTGCTCAAAGCAAGACCGATCCCTGACTAAATCATCCCAGCGACCTTGAAAACCTCTAAGGAAGGAGATTCCACCACCTCCCTAGGTAACGCATTCCAGTGTTTCACCACCCTCGTCGTGAAAAAGTTTTTCCTAATATCCAACCTAAATCTCCCCCACTGCAACTTGAGATCATTACTCCTTGTTCTGTCATCTGCTACCACTGAGAACAGTCTAGAGCCATCCTCTTTGGAACCCCCTTTCAGGTAGTTGAAAGCAGCTATCAAATCCCCCCTCATTCTTCTCTTCTGAAGACTAAACATCCCCAGTTCCCTCAGCCTCTCCTCATAAGTCATGTGTTTCAGTCCCCTAATCATTTTTGTTGCCCTCCGCTGGACTCTTTCCAATTTTTCCACATCTTTCCTGTAGTGTGGGGCCCAAAACTGGACACGGTACTCCAGATGAGGCCTCACCAATGTCGAATAGAGGGAAACGATCACATCCCTCGATCTGCTGGCAATGCCCCTACTTATACATCCCAAAATACCATTGACCTTCTTGGCAACAAGGGCATACTGTTGACTCATATCCAACTTCTCGTCCACTGTAACCCCTAGGTCCTTTTCTGCAGAACTGCTGCTGAGCCATTTGGTCCCTAGTCTGTAGCGGTGCATTGGATTCTTCCATCCTAAGTGCAGGACCCTGCACTTGTCCTTGTTGAACCTCATCAGATTTCTTTTGGCCCAATCCTCCAATTTGTCTAGGGCCCTCTGTATCCTATCCCCACCTTCCAATGTATCTACCACTCCTCCCAGTTTAGTGTCATCTGCAAACTTGCTGAGGGTGCAATCCACACCATCCTCCAGATCATTTATGAAGATATTGAACAAAACCGACCCCAGGACCGACCCCTGGGGCACTCCACTTGATACCGGCTGTCAACTAGACATGGAGCCATTGATCACTACCCGTTGAGCCCGACAATCTAGCCAGCTTTCTATCCACCTTATAGTGAATTCATCCAGACCATACTTCTTTAACTTGCTGGCAAGAATACTGTGGGAGACCATGTCATAAGCTTTGCTAAAATCAAGGAACAACATGTCCACTGCTTTCCCTTCATCCACAGAGCCAGTTATCTCGTCATAGAAGGCAATTAGATTAGTCAGGCATGACTTGCCCTTGGTGAATCCATGCTGACTGTTCCTGATCACTTTCCTCTCCTCTAAGTGCTTCAGAATTGATTCCTTGAGGACCTGCTCCATGATTTTTCCAGGGACTGAGGTGAGGCTGACTGGCCTGTAGTTCCCAGGATCCTCCTTCTTCCCTTTTTTAAAGATGGGCACTACATTAGCCTTTTTCTAGTCATCTGGGACCTCCCCCGATCGCCATGAGTTTTCAAAGATAATGGCCAATGGCTCTGCAATCACATCCGCCAACTCCTTTAGCACTCTCGGATGCAGCGCATCCAGCCCCATGGACTTGTGCTCGTCCAGCTTTTCTAAATAGTCCCGAACCACTTCTTTCTCCACAGAGGGCTGGTCACCTCCTCCCCATGCTGTGCTGCCCAGTGCAGTAGTCTGGGAGCTGACGTTGTTCGTGAAGACAGAGGCAAAAAAAGCATTGAGTACATTAGCTTTTTCCACATCCTCTGTCACGAGGTTGCCTCCCTCATTCAGTAAGGGGCCCACACTTTCCTTGACTTTCTTCTTGTTGTTAACATACCTGAAGAAACTCTTCTTGTTACTCTTAACATCTCTTGCTAGCTGCAGCTCCAGGTGTGATTTGGCCTTCCTGATTTCACTCCTGCAAGCCCGAGCAATATTTTTATACTCATCCCTGGTCATTTGTCCAATCTTCCACTTCTTGTAAGCTTCTTTTTTGTATTTAAGAGCAGCAAAGATTTCACTGTTTAGCCAAGCTGGTTGCCTGCCATATTTACTATTCTTTCTACACATCGGGTTGGTTTGTCCCTGTAACCTCAATAAGGATTCTTTAAAATACAGCCAGCTCTCCTGGACTCCTTTCCCCCTCATGTTATTCTCCCAGGGGATCTTGCCCATCAGTTCCCTGAGGGAGTCAAAGTCTGCTTTTCTGAAGTCCAGGGTCTATATTCTGCTGCTCTCCTTTATTCCTTGTGTTAGGATCCTGAACTCGACCATTTCATGGTCACTGCCTCCCAGGTTCCCATCCACTTTTGCTTCCCCTACTAATTCTTCCCGATTTGTGAGCAGCAGGTCAAGAAGAGCTCTGCCCCTAGTTGGTTCCTCCAGCACTTGCACCAGGAAATTGTCCCCTACATTTTCCAAAAACTTCCTGGATTGCCTGTGCACCGCTGTATTGCTCTCCCAGCAGATATCAAGGTGATTGAAGTCTCCCATGAGAACCAGGGCCTGCGATCTAGTAACTTCTGCAAGCTGCTGGAAGAAAGCCTCGTCCATCTCATCCCCCTGGTCCGGTGCTCTATAGCAGACTCCCACCATGACATCACTCTTGTTGCTCACACTTCTAAACTTAATCCAGAGACTCTCAGGTTTTTCTGCAGTTTCATACTTGAGTTCTGAGCAGTCACACTGCTCCCTTACAGAGAGTGCAACTCCCCCACCTTTTCTGTCCTTCCTGTCCTTCCTGAACAGCTTGTATCCATCCATGACAGTACTCTAGTAATGTGAGTTATCCCACCAAGTCTCTGTTATTCCAATCACATCATAATTCCTTGACTGTGCCAGGACTTCCAGTCTCCCTGCTTGTTTCCCAGGCTTCGTGCATTTGTATATAGGCACTTGAGGTAACCTGCTGATCGCCCCTCTTTCTCAGTATGAGGCAGGAGCCCTCCCCTCTCACGCGCTCCTGCTCGTGTCTCCTGCCGGTATCCCACTTCCCCACTTACCTCAGGGCTTTGGTTTCCTTCCCCCGGTGAACCTAGTTTAAAGCCCTCCTCACTAGGTTAGCCAGCCTGCTTGCAAAGATGCTCTTCCCTTTCTTCGTTAGGTGGAGCCCGTCTCTGCCCAGCACTCCTCTTTCTTGGAACACCATCCCATGGTCAAAGAATCCAAAGCCTTTTCTCCGACACCACCTGCGTAGCCATTCGTTGACTTCCACAATTCGACGGTCTCTACCCAGGCCTTTTCCTTCCACGGGGAGGATTGATGAGAACATCACTTGCACCTCAAACTCCTTTATCCTTCTTCCCAGAGCCACGCAGTCTGCAGTGATCCGCTCAAGGTCATTCTTGGCAGTATCATTGGTGTCCACGTGAAGAAGCAGGAAGGGGTAGTGATCTGAGGGCTTGATGAGTCTCGGCAGTCTCTCCATCACATCGTGAATCTTAGCTCCTGGCAAGCAGCAGACTGCTCGGTTTTCCGGGTCGGGGCGGCAGATAGATGACTCAGTCCCCCTGAGGAGAGAGTCCCCAACCACCACCACCCGCCTCCTTCTCTTTGGGAGTGGTGGTCGTGGAACCCCCAACCCTAGGACAGTGCATCTCATGCCTTCCAATCGGCGGAGTCTCTTTCTGCTCCCTTCCCTCAGACGTATCATCTGGTCCACTCTCCGCATTAGTACCTGTGGAGAGAACATGAAAACGGTTACTTACCTGTATCTGCCCTGCTGGTACATGGACGTTCCCCTTTTTTCTTCTGGAGGTCACATGATGCCAAATTTCTTCACCATCCTTCTGTCCCCGATGTGCAGCCTGCTCCGAATCTTCAGGACTGTGAGAACTGTAGGTTGGAGTTATGACACAATGGAGTTATGCTGATTTACCCTAGCTGAGGATCTGGCTCATAGTAATAAAAATCATTTGATGTAAAGATACAGCTGGATAACAGAGGTCAAGAAAAATGAAAATGTACATAGCTATCAAATAGCAATGAGAAAGAATTCCAATAAAAATATGCATGTGAGGAATCTGAGGAGGCCATGCTGTCTGATCACACATATGTCTTTGATGGAGCATTTGTGCAGAATGACATTGAAAAGAAATCTGCAGCCAATTCCATCATTGTTGGGCACCATAGCCCAATGCCAGTTCAAGGATTTAGCCATACAAATATTAAGTAGAGTGTCCTGAATGATAAAAGCATTTATTTAGGGTAGCTCAAGTAAATACATATGTTTGCAAAAAAAGAAAAGACATGGAAACTAAGTAAACAGTATCCTGTTTGTAACACAAACAAGCAAAATTAAGGACATTCAATGTTAAAACTGAAACCCCAGCCACAGCTTACAACCATTGTCTTGCAATTGCATAAGTAAGGATGGAATGTGAGACACTATATTACATTTGAATGTTATGGCTTTGGTTAGTCTTACTTTTCTAAACACTTCATAATAATTTTAATTTAACAACTTCACTGTTTCTTATTGTAGCGGGTGTGTTGGGCAAAACACTGAGCTGAGCAATGTTTCATTTCATTGCAGTGGCATTCCGGTGTGATTCTGGAACATCGCTGTATTCCTGGAAGGACAGCAGTGCAGTCTAACTACTGATTTCCAGATCGTTATAAAAAAGTAAAACATATCAGATTCCGTGCCTGTGGAACAGCCAATATAATACGCTGGTAGACATAAAGAGCTGTCACATTTGTAATCTGTAAAGTTGATAAATTGTATAAGGCTGGATATTAAAAGGAAGAGTACTCTTTCTGCCTCTCTCTCAGCTGGTATAAAATCTCATTTTGTCAGAGGGCTAGCCACAAGGATCAAATTAATCTCCCAGTAATTAACAATCTCTTTGTTCTACAAACCATCTGGCTAGTAAAGTCTCATTTGATGTAGGGATTACTACATACTCTTTCCTCTATGGAATCAGCAACTAGAATAAAGAATAAGGCTATGGCTGTAGCATCAGGATTCCCCCACAGCTAAGCATACTAGATCCACCCTGGCATGGATTTACAGGGCTTGTTCTATTATTAGTTAATGCTAATTATTTTGTATTGCAGCAGCAGCTAGGACCCCTAGTCATACAGCAGGATTGCATTGTGCTAAACATAGAACAAAAAGATGGTCCCTACCCCAAGATGCTTACAATCCAGTCCCCTGGGAGTAATTCCTTTAGTGTGCCAGACCCTTTGGGTGCCAGCAAAAAACGGTTACTTACTTGTAACTGTGGTTCCTCAAAATGTGATACAGACATGTATTCCATGTGGGGGTGTGCTTGCACCATGCTCCAGAGCTGAAGAATTTTGCCTTGCAGTACCTTGCAGTACCCTGGGGGTGGTGCTCACACCCTGCATCTGTAGGCCCTCCCCTTGTCATATGAGAGAGGTGCCAAAATAGCCATCAGGTGGACTCTCAATGAACTAAGTGCAAGACCAGAAAAGTGAAAGTGTAACAAGTACTCTAAGGTGTCCTGGATTCAAGCCAGCATTGGTTGAATTCGCCAGGATAACGACCATGCTGAGAATCACTTCCATCTGGATGAATAGGCCATCCTGGTGGAGGGCTTCAGCCCTAGGCAAGACCTGTGGGACTGCTTCCAAACATCGTTTCTCATCATCTAGCCTTGTAGCATCTTGAAGTGCAGGGAGATTACTGCTTGATGCAAAATCTGGCTGTGGTGTTGAATCAGGTCAGGATGAAGAGGAAGGGATATGGGAGGCCAAACCAACAATGTGAGGAGGTTGGAGAACAAACATTGCCTTGGTCATGCGAGAGCAATACAAATGAGTTTTGCACAATCCAATTTCTGGTTATGAATAACCTGCAGGATGATCGGAATTGGAGGACAGGCATACAGGAGCACCAATTCCGAGCTCAGGTGAAAAGCAGCAGTCCAGGAACCCAGACTGAGAACTTCTGGGGAGCAGAACAGTGGGCATTTGTTATTTTCTCTTGTGGTGAACAGGTCAATCATCAGGATGCCCCAAACTGCAAAGATGCTCTGCCGGATACTGGGCTTCAGAGACTACCTATGAGTCAAGGAGAAAATTCTGCAGAGGTGATACGCCAAGTGATTGTGTATCCCAGGTAAGGGATCAGCCACAAAGGTAATGTTTTCCCAGCTGTAAACCTGCCAGAACCTGATCGCCTCCTGACACAGCACGTTGAAGTGTGCTCCCTCCTGCCTGGTGATATAATACGTTGCAGAGGTATTGTCAGTGAGTATGAGAATCACTGAACCCAGGAGGTGATCCTTTAAGGTCTGACAGTCCTTGTAGATGGCACAAAGTTCCAGGACATTGGTATGTAGAGAAGTTTCTTGTTCCACAGGCCCTGAACTTTCAGTGAGTTCATAATGCACCCCCTAACCTATTAATGAGGCATCAGTGACTATAATCCTGGTCAGTGAAGGCCGAGCAAAAGGAACACCCTGGCACACATTGTCCTGAATTATCCACCACTATAAGGCCCTGAATCAATGGGGAAGCTGGACAAGCATTTCCAAGGGATAGCAATTCAGATAATAGACTGACTTCAGCCAAAGCTAAAGAGGATGAATGGATATTGAATTACCTGTACGCATGTGCCTAACAAAACTCAGGCTGTGGTTGAGGGCTGAGACTGCAGCTCCAGACGTAAGTAGTGGATCATGTGGAATCTCTCAGTCAGTAGAAACTCTCTTTAATTCATAGAGAATTCATCAGGACCTCAATGAATTTGATTCCTTGAGTTGGAACCAGTGTTGACCTAGGCAATCAAATAGGTATAGTGTGAAGTGAACATTAGACTTCCACTCTGGACTTTCCCCCCAGTAACCAATTGTCCAGTTATGGGAAGATATGAATTACCCTCTTCCTGAGGTATGCTGTTAACACAATCATGCCTTTGCTGAAAACCCGGGGAGCAGATAACAGGCAGAAAGAGCACGATGTTCTGGTAGTGCTGGCCAGCCATGACAAATTTGAGGAACCTCCTGTGGCTCAGGAGGATTGCTACATGGAAATAAGCACTGAGGGAGAGATTCTGGCACGGAAGAGTCATCTGGAGAGAATGAGGAGGCAGTTTGCTGTGCCAATGACAGATTCTGTTCTTGCACCACAGGATCAGGTCAGAAGGCCCAGGGGGAATGGACTAAGCTGTCACTTGCAGCTGAGACAGTATAGGAGTGGGAGTTAGTGTCACAACTGGTGATCTTGGTAGGGAGTTGTTCGAGGAGCAGGATCCCAGGGACCCAGGAGCATCACAGGGATTCCAAGGAGGCCACTGGGCATATGGATAAGGCACTGGTGACCAGTAGGTACTGGTCCAAGAGCCCCTGTTCTGACTACAGAAGAAGATGCCGATCTCAGTTCTGGCAGTGATCCATAGGAGATCTCTGGTGCCTAGCCAACAAGGACAACTAGCTGACCTGGTTCTTGAGGAATCCTGGAGGTTGTGTGATGACAATGGGGGAGTCATCCCCAGTGGGGCAAACAACCAGTCAGACTCATCTAAAGCCCAATAAGGAGGTGGTATAATTGCTGAAGAGAAATGGGGAAGCGGCACCAGTGTCACCAAATAGGATACACTCCTACCTGGTACCTGGAGAAACATCAATACCGAGGCTAGTACTGGACTTGATGATGGGATGCGGAAAGATGCATCAACATTGAGGGAACCTTTGGTGCCAGGCCTGGCTTTGACTCCATAGTTTGTGGCCCAAGTGGTGCGAGCTGCAGTGGCGATGACCTGATGGCTTTATGACATGGCCGGAAGGTGCCAGGCACATAATGGGGAATGAGCCAGTAGAAGCCATAGCACCGAAGAACGGAGAGTCCAGGATTGAGAGGCAAACCAAGTCTGATGCTGCCTGATATACCATTAGGGTGACCAGATGTCCCGATTTCATAGGGACAGTCTTGATATTTGGGGCTTTGTCTTATATAGGCACCTATTACCCCCCCACCCCGTCCCGATTTTTCACACTTGCTATATGGTCATCCTAAAAGCTGTTGGCATGGAGACCCCCCCCAATTGAATTCCAGGAGGTGGACAGGTACAAGTCTGCCTACATCTAAAGCCCCCTCACCCCAAGCCGTAGGGAGGAGCCACAGGACCCAGGAGCCAACTGATGATGGGGGACAACTAAGGAATAACAGGGTTGGGAGTGTGGGTCATAGATTCAAAACTAGGGATCCAGAGGGGGAAACCGAGCAGAGAACCCTGGACAATGCCCACTGCTCCTCAAAGCTGTCTAGGGAACCAGCGGATGCTGCCCAGAGGAACTCTGCCTGGATACATGAGATAAGGGAGGAACAGAAGTAGGCCCCACAGTCACAGAGCACTTCCCCATCCAGCACCCTTCTCCTGGTATTGTAGATGGCTACTTTGGCTAGTGCTAGGAGGAGGTTGATGAGGAGGTCTCATGACTTCGTGAGGCCATGGACAGGGGTCTCAAACTCAAATGACCATGAGGGCCACATGAGGACTAGTGCATTGGCCTGAGGGCCGATTCACTGACACCCCCCCAACTGCCCCTGGCCCCGCCCCCACTCCACCCCTTCCATGAGGCCCTGCCCCGCCTCTTCCCACCCCTTCTCTGACCCCATTCCAACCCCTTCCCCGAAGTCCCCACCCCAACACCGCCCCCTCCCTGTCCCCAGGGGGTGCAGGAGGTGTGCAGGGTGTGGCAGGGGGCTCAGGGCAGGGAGTTGGGGTGTGGGGTGCAGGAGGGGTGAGGAGTGCGGCAGGGGGTCAGGGTGCAGAGTGTGACAGGGGGCTCAGGGCAGGGAGTTGGGGTGCAGGAGGGGTGTGGGATGTAGCAGGGAGCTCAGGGCAGGGAGTTGGGGTGCAGGGTGCAGGAGGGGTTCGGGGTGCGGGCTCCGGCCCGGTGCCATTTACCTAGAGCGGCTCCGGGGTGGCAGCGGCGTGCACCAGGGCCAGGGCCAGGGCAGGCTCCCTGCCTGCCTGCCCTGGCCCCGCCCCGCTCTGCTCCGCTCCAGGAAGCAGCCGGAACCATGTCCCTGCGGGAGGGGGGGCAGAGGGCTCTGTGTGCTGGTTCCCCATTCCAGGCCAATGGGAGCTGCGGGGGGTGGTGCCTGGAAGTGAGAGCAACACGGAGCCTTCTGCCCCCTCCTACCCCCAAGGAGCCGCAGGGACATGGTTCCGGCCACTTCAGGGAGCAGCATGGGGCTCGCTGGCTGTAGTTTGCCCACCCTTGGCTTGGAGGTAGGCAGAGGGGTGGGGGGTGTGGGGAGCTTGGTGGGCCGCACGAAAGAACTCCAAGGGCTGTGTGTTTAAGACCCCTGGCGCATATGAAAAGGTGCGTGGAAAAGTGCAGTCAGAACTTCAACCGGAGGTTCTGGAGGAGCCAGGAAAGAGACTGCAACCTGGCACATTCTAGATACGCATGCGCCAAGGTCTCCCTCATGCCGCAGTATGGATAGGTGTCAGGGATGGAGAATCGTGCCAGGTACATGCCCGGGCTTACAGCTCTGTAAACAAGCTGCCAACTGCTATCCCTGGCAGGCTGTGGGACCAAGGTGAAGTACAGGCTGGCCCACCAGGGTGCCTAACCCCCCCACAGATGGTAAGAGGTCCCACCACTTGGTATCTGGGTGGGACACAAAGGTGAGGAAGTGAAACGTGTGGAGCATGAGTTTTTGCATAGCCGCAGTCAGCTCAGGTTGTGGAGGAGCCAGGGAGGCTTGCAGGGCAGGGGCCTGATGGAGAAGTCCGGAGAGTCAGGGG